GTGGCTTGCCAGGGCGGTTGTGGTGTGGGGTCTTGTCCCTGGTGTGGGGCTCCTTCTCCACTTGCTGGGGAGGCCAGATGCTGCAGCAGCCACATTGCCTCCCCTGGGGCCTGGGCAGGACAGGCTGGTGGCACCACTCCAGGGCTCATGGTCCGCTGCCCTCAGGGCTCCCGGGTGGCGGGGAGACCAGACACTTGGAGACCCTGAACCTGCTGGCTCCTCAGAGGGGGCAGAGGGGCCCTGGGAGGCAGGATGAGGGTCTCGGCAGTTACCCACCCCCCACTGCCAGCGGGGGGCATCCCTGGGGCCAGGCCCAGGACCTCCAGTTGAGGTCCTCCATTTGAACCCTGTGCAGGTGGCCTGCACACCTGCTTCCTGGGTGGCTGCAGGCCCGTGGTCTGGGGGTACCCAGCACCGTGCTGGCTTCCCACCAGCTGGCTGCTGTGGGCTCCACCACCAGAGCCCCTATGGTGCAAGGTGAGGGGTGCCTGTGCACACAGGGCTACGAGGGGCCTTGGACCCTGGGCCACAGTGTCCCGTAATTACGCGCTGTGTGCAAACTGCGTTATATTTGGTTCCCCCCACGCACGAGGCTCTGTCTCCACGGAGCTCTCCCTCCCGCATCACGTGCTGGCGTCTCCATCCCCTCCTCCGTGTAGCTGCCAGGCGCCTGGCCAGGGGGGAGGCGATTTGGGTTGTTTCCAGTTTTCTCGGTTATAAATAGCATCGCTCTGCATGTCTTTATTACAAATCCTTCCTCCGAAACCCTGAATAACTGAGCCCCTGGGGCACCCAGGACCCAGCGCGCGCATCCCACAAAGCCCTTTTCGCTTCTTGGCGGTCCCACCGCGCAGCGTGGGTGGCACCGCGGGTGGAAGCCGGGCCTGGGGGTGGGACGCAGCCGGCCCCCAGTAGGGATGCAGGCTCAGGGCACACATGGAACCAGCATCAGAGTGAGGGGACGTGCTGGGTCTCCCAACGTTTCCTTCCCTCCAATGCAGGAGGAGCGCGCGGTGCACCTGGGCCCTGGCGCTGGAGAGAGGACAGCTCGTTCCCTCCTCGGGACCATTGGGTTTGCTTGTTTCCCCATAATTCTCGTTGACTTTTTAAAATTAGTACAAATATAATAAGTAAAAACATTCTTACTGTGCAAAGTTCAGCCCAGTTTTGACATTTCCTCTGCGGTATTTTTTTCCTTTTGAGTCAGGGTGCTGGGTCTAGGAGCCTGGTGCTGAGACCTGACCCGAGGGAGGGATGTTGGACAGGAAGGGGACCCCCAGCCAGCTGGAGGCCTAGGAGGGTGCAAGAGCGGTGGCGGGAGCAGGGCCGAGCCCCAGCCTGGTGGTGGGCTCAGCAGGGGGCCCTGCACCCCCCCCCGGAGCGCAGCGTCTCAGGGACAGCACTGCCTAGCGAGAAGGAGAAGGTCTGCAGGGCCCATCCCGGCAGGTCCTTGGGCTCAGCCTTTGGGCAGGACCAGGGCCATGTTGGTTAGCTTGGCTGCCTTGCTCGCTCCGTGTTTAGGTGCTGCAGACTCCCGAGGGAGCCTCGGGTGCCCAGCAGCACACAGGTGAACAAACAACAGAAAGTGGCCCCACCTCGAGGGCCCTCTCCTCCGCCTCCTGCGCCCTGAAACACCAGTGGCTCCAGGTGCACACTCGGCAGCTGCCACCCGGCCACCCTCCAGTGGTCACTTTGCTGCAGATTAATGCAGAGCGACAGTGCGACTTGGTGTGTTCTGTTGGTCTCGGGTACTTGCCCTCTCGCTTGGAGCAACAGTCATCACGGGGCCAGGACCGCAGCCCAGTTGCAGCATTCTCTGCACCTCGATTTCCTCATTTGTAAAAGGGGGGCTAACCATCCCCCCTCCTTGCAAGGTCACTATAAAATCCAATAAGGTGGAGGGTAGACATTTAGAAGAGTTTCCTGTATATAGTGAGTACGTTGTATATAAATCATAGATTGGTCTTTATCACCATTACTACCAGCATCACCATCACCATCATCATTACCACACCTTCATCACCACATAGCCCTGCCACCGGCTGCAACATCCAGGGCTAGTGATCGGAGAGTGGTGGGTTAGGGTCTCCCTGCTCTGGAGGACTGCAGCCTGCCCTTCCAGGCAGATGGCTGTGGCTGGAACTGGTGGTGGCTGTGACACCCCTCCCACAACAACAGGCCCCGGGGGTGAGGGGACCAGAGGAGGCCGTGGCTTCTTTGGGAGAACCAGCCTGTATGAAGCACTTTGGCTCTGCAGATGTGATGCTCGTTGCCATGGGGACCGTCCTAACAATAACCTCCCAGAACTGATATTCCCCACACCCGCCCCAGCCGCCAGTCGGGAGGGAGCACCCTTCTCACTGATGAAAGCCAGCCAGAAGGGACAAGGGGGTGGCAGAGAGGACGTGGGGTGCGGGGCGGAGGTGGGGTTGGGGGCCAGAGCCAGGAGAGAGGACTTCCGGTCTGGGGCCCAGGAAGAGCCACGGCTGACAGCCCTTCACCTTCCAACCACCCCACTCTGCCTCCTGGAGGTGGGGAGCGCACCACACTTCCAGTGGGGGTGAGAGTGGGATGCGGAGGCAGGGATGTCTGGGCCCCGCTGGCCCCACCACTCCCCACTGTGGTACCCTGGTCACCCCACCTTCCTCCCCCAGGGTTGCTCTGGGTCACACCCTCAGTGCAGGGAAGCGCTGCTGGAGGTGGGACCCCAGGTGCTAACAGGCGTAGAAGAGGGGCCTCCAGTTGCATCCCTTAGTGACCCTGATTCTTGTGTGATTTTGGTCCTGGGCAGCCTCCCCATCAAGGGAAGGAACCTCAGAACAAACTGTCAAATCGCTGCTGTGTCCTCACTTGGGGCCGTGGAAGCCACACATGTGTGAGTGTGAATGCATATATGTGTGAGTATATGTGTGCATGTGAAAGTGTGTGTGTGTGTAAATAAAGGAGGAGAGGTTGTTATGGAGCAGTGGTGATTCAGTCCCAGGCACCTCTCAGCTGGTGACGCTGGGCAAGTTGGTCCTCCTCTGTCTGTCTGCTGTCCCCTGGAGTAAGAGGGGGCAGTGCCCACACACATCTGCCTAGGACTGTTTGAGAATTAAATGAGATGAGACATGTAGAGTGTGTGCAAACAAATCAGTGTCCTTGTGACTTTATGGCCACATCCCCCCGGCCTGGACTTGCCTGGCAGGAACGGATGTGACCTTGGCGGTGCCCAGGCGCGACCTCCTGTTATTGGTTCTTGAACTGTAGTCGACTGCGGGGGACCAACTCCCCGCCTCCCCTGCTCCCCAAGGGTCCAGCATGTGCGGGCAGAGACTCCAGTGGGGTTGGGCACAGTTCAAGAGGGGCCTCCCCAGAGAGGTGCATTGCCTGACAGGACCACCAGGGTCACTGCCAGGTGTGGAGCCGGCCTCCCTTCAGCTGTCCCTGCTGAGATCAAAGCCATGCCCCACACAGGGTCCTTGCTGTCTGTCCCTGGCCAGGACTCATCATCACCTCGAGTATCTTCTGCCGCTAGCCATCAGCCGTAAGTCGGGTCTGCAAAGTCTACAGAGCCACCCAGGACCCAGACAAGGCCCTGCAGGCTGCCTGTGGGTCTGCTGGAGAGAGCCCTGTGCCAAGGGCATCCTGGTGGGGAGGCCCGGCTGCCCCCACCCCAGAATCTCTTCCATGTGAACTTTTACCCAGGAAACATTTATTGTGGCCTTGGGAGCTGGTCCTGGGCTGGCACCAAAGCAGGAGAAGCAGCAACATCAGCACAGCCAGGTGACCGGGGCTGGACTGCTGCGGCACCCTTCCTCAGGGCCTGCCCTGGACCAACCCTGGCCTGGCCCCGGGCCCCCCAGGAGTAGTGGGAGCCAGAGCCCACGGGCCCTCTGTGCTGTAGCCGAAGGCCCTGTTCTAGATGGCGCCTGGGCGTGGCCCTGGGGAAGCTCCTTGGTGGAAAAACGGGGTCAGCCCAGCCTCTCCAGCCTGGCCCTCCCCCCCGCTCCGCTCCAGGGCTACTTTCAAGATGGACCCTCTCCTGTCAAGCAAGAGCAGCAGGCTGACAGGCGGACTGACAGACAGACTCGGCCTGGGAGCAGGAATGTGCCCTCTACCTGGCAGGGGGCTGTGAGCTCTCAGCACCCTGAGTTCCTGATGGAGGGGCCCCTGTTCTCCTGACTCAAGGACCCTGGGCCTGAACTCACTTCCCTCCCTGGGACTCCAGTGCAGACACCAAAGTGTGGGGGGTGGGAGGGTGGGACCCTTGGGGAGGGGCAGCATCCACCCTTTCCTGTCCCACTGCCAATGTCCCAGGTTTGGGATGTTCCTGTGCAGCCTAGGGGCACTGGGACCCTACACAGCCTGTGTGGTGGGGGCCAGGTAGCATCTCTTCCCAGGGGTGTGGGGAATAACTCCTGTGGAGGGCGACACATGTCCTTGCCCCTCATTTAGGCCCCAGCCCCTCTTGCAGTTCGGGGCAAGATGGGCCTTTCCCGAGAGACAGGGCAGGGGTGTACTACTGTGTGTGAGTGTGTGAGTGTGTGAGCGAGGGTGTGCGCACGTGGAGGGGCCACCAGCAAGGAGCAGAGAAGGCAGCTCGTGCAGCCAGCTGTGCCTGTGTGTGAGGCCCCAGCCCCAGGCGTGTGAAGAGTGAGGCTGTGTGCACAGGAGGCATGTGCACGCGTGGCAGGTGCTTGTGTAGGGAGCGGGTGCAGTGAGAACGCAGGTGCGTGTGCAGAGGTGCAGGGAGCGGGTGCGTGTGCAGAACGCGGGTTCGGATGAGGGCGCGGGCGCAGGGTGTGTGCAGCGCGCGGGTGCGTGTTCGGGGCGCGGGCTCGGGTGCGGGGCTCGCGCAGGGGGCGGCGGGAGGGGCGGGAGTGGCGGCGGTAACAGCTGCGCCCGCGCTCCCCGCGCGTAGGTGTGCGGCGCGTTCCTGGCGGGGACGGAGCGCGCAGATCTCGCGTGTGCTCGCAGCCCAGCCCGGCCCCTGCCCGGCGCCGCTAGCCGAGCTGTCGCCCGCGCCCGCGCCCGTGTCGCCGCCGTGCCCGCGAGCGGGAGCCGGAGTCGCCGCCGCCGCCCGAGTGCAGAAGAGCGCACGCCGAGGCTGTCTGTCACCGCCATGGCCACCACGGTGACCTGCACTCGCTTCACCGACGAGTACCAGCTCTACGAGGATATTGGCAAGTAAGAGCCGCGGTGCGTGCGGGCAGGGCCGAGACCCTGGAGATCTGGACCCTCCGCGCCGCCGGTTCCGGGCGCACTGCGGCCCCGCGCGCCCCCGGCTCCTCCTGGCTCAGGGCCCGAAGCGTACCGCGCGGCCCCGACCCCCGAGCCCCAGGCCCAGCCGCCGGACCTTAGCGTGAGCGGCCTTGCCTGGCCCTGCCCAGCTCCGCCGCCCGGCCAGAACCCCCGGGCTCTGGGCGCCGGGCTCGGCGCAGCGGGGGCGGCAGCAGGTGTCCTCGGAGCGCCCGGCAGACGTGACGCATTAGGCGGCCGGAGGTCAGAGAGGAGGGGCGCACCGGGGTAGCCGCGAGGCCTAGAGAGCAGGGGAGGGGGCGGCCTGGGCCGGAGGGTCGTCCCCGAGTGGGCCTGGCTGTCCCCACCCCCACTGAGCAGCCGGGTGCGGGGGCGGCAGGACCTGCTCCGCGCTTGCTCCTCCGCGTGGCTGGATCCGCGCGAGGCGGTGGTGGTGGTGGTGGTGGGGGTTGCTCGCTCCGCGCCGGACCGCGTGGGAACAGCCTCTGCGGCGGGGGCCCCCGGGGAATCTGGGTTCTGGGGGATTTCCCCTCAGATCCTTCTGGAAAGAGGAGTCTGGAGAGCTGGTGACTGAGTTCGGGAGGTCGGGTCAGACCAGGGGGGCTGATATGAGGGGCGAGGTGGGGTGTCTGATGGGCTCCCTGGTTCAGGGTCACCGAGGTGGGCGGGGGCTGGTGCGACTCCGAGGCGGCGCTGGTGGGGAGGCCACGAAGGCGCGTTTCAGGAAGGACCTCTCCGGGAACAGGTGGCTCCTGCGCTCCGCTTGCCGACCTGGGCGCGTGGGGCGCCTGCCCTGGCTCTGCCCCTAGGGTCCCCTGGGTTGTGCGCTCGGTAAGTCAGGGTGGCTGCTCCAGCCTGATGCAGCCAGAACCCGGCCTCCTGCGTCGTCCTCTTCCTGCGCGGTGGCAGTGGCGCCGCTGGTGAGGCTTCCTCTTAAACATCCAGGGGCCGACCCTTAATTTTTCCTTCCTAAACACGCGTCTGTGGTGAAACCTCGTCTTGGTGAGTGATGCTGATCATCGGCGACAGCGGATGCCCTGCCTTGAGGAGTCGGGGCGGGGGGCACAAATCCTCCAGCTCACCGTGCACGTGCGGAAGGAAGCCTCAGCCTGGCGGCCGAGGGATGGTGAAGGGGAGCTCGGTGGGGGCAAGGCCAGGCCCTGGGAATCCATAGACCCCCTTCCCTCGGGTGGGGGCTGGTTGGGGGCCGGACCACAAGGCGAGTGGACCTGGAGAGCAGAGGAGAAGGATGGGGAGGGTCAGCCTCCCCCGGGGATTCTTCTGCCCCCCAGGGGGAGGCCATGGGCTACTGGTTCTGCCACCAGCGGCTGTGGGAGGAAGGTCACTCCTTCTGGGTTTGTACTGTTTCTCTGCTTTGCACCCAGGGGCACCCGATCCTTTCCCGTGAACTTTTCTGTGGATCCTCTGGGTCCATGGCTGTGTAGGGGCCCCCAAGCCCTGGCCTCTGGCTCCAGCAATAGCTGGTTAATGTGCCTGCTCTCACCCACTCACGCACTGGGAAATAGAGGTCCTTGGGGCAGCCCCCTGGGTGGAGAGGAGGTGGCAGACCCCGCAGTGCATGCTGGGCTCTCACCCTCTCCGTAGGGACCGGAGCACTGGGTGGCTGCCTACACAGAGGTGCCCAGGGACTGGGCCTGAGTGGGTGGGGAAACCTGGCTGCAGATGGGGCAGATGCCTGGAGGCGAAGCACCCGGGGCTGGGAGGGCTTCAGTTTTCCTGGCCCCTGGAGCCAGTGGCCCATTTATGGAGCTCCGTAGGTGCCAGGCCCAGGGAGAGCTGCCGAGGGGCCTGCTACAGCTCTGCTGGGGTGTCCTGGGCAGAGAGGAGGTCCAGGGTCCACAGTGGCTGTGTTGGCGGGCTGCTGCTAGCGCCAGGCCAGCAGGAGGCACAGTTGGTGCTGCTTCCTGGCCAGGTGGATGCGTCCAAGTTTATTTAAAGCTGCAGCCCCTGGCACCGGTCAGACGATGGGTGAGCTCCCTGCCTGGGGAGGGCCAGGCCTCAGGCCCACAGCTGCCCGCGTGACGTGGTCCTGGCTTGGCCTGTCCCCTCCGGCCTCCTCCCCTTCCCTTTGCCATCCACCCAGCTGCTGCCTTTGCTCAGGAGGGTGCCCTGGGGGCCTGGGTCGTGGGGTCTGAGGGCTGAAAGAAGCTCTTTTCTGGGGCCTGGCTAGGGACTCCCTTGTCCAGCTGGATGCCAGCCTGACTTGGCCCAGGTCCTGGGTTCAGAGCCACTCTGAGCGGGGACCCCTGTCAGGCACGGAACAGGCGGGAAGGCTCGGCCAGCACGGGCGGGCCAGCAGTGTGGGTTTTAAAATCCAGAGAACTTCCCGAGTAATAAAATAAACACTTGTATCTCCTCTGCCGAGTTACTCTTTGTCCATTTTGGCTTTAAGTTCCTTTTTGGTTACGAGCAGTAATGCTGTTGCTCTGGCGGCAATCCTGCCCACAGTGTCTGTCCTTCCAGGTCTGGCCCGTGTGCACCCAGGTGCTGTGTCCATAACTAGACGCAGGTGCTCCCTGTGTCTCTTGAGCTGTTACACGGACATGCTGGAGCTGTTTGCCCTCTGTGCAGCGTTGTGGGCACGAGGGAGGTGACACATCAGCTGTGCCCGCTGCTGTGCAGTGGCGGAGGTGGGAGTCCATGGTCCCGCCCTGGTGCCAGCCCCGAAGCAGGTCTGCGGGGTGCACAGGCCCCAGGGTGTCCTCAGGGTGTGTTCCCAGAGGCGGGTCCAAGTCCTCTCTGTGTTGCTGTGGCCACCAGCCCCCTCGGGTCTAACACTCTGGGCCCTTGAGTGGGCAGAAGAGGCTCCCGAGCCTTCCACTTTTGGGGCCATCTCCAGCAAAGTGCCGGCACTCCCCTAGAAGAGAGCCGCTCCCGTGAGGATTTGGACATAACAAGGGGTCATGGACCAGCTGTGTCGGCCTCCACGGAGCTTGTCCCTTTGAACCTGTGGTTTCATCTAATTAGTTGACCAGGAAGCATCACCCCTCCACCTGCAGGATTTAACAGAGACGATGTTGAGGGAGGGGGCCACCTGCCCCAGAAGTAGGGAGACTGACCTCCAGCCCATGCCCAGATGACCTTGGTGTGTCCTTGGCTCCACCCAGTGTCTGTCCTGTGGTGTGACCCCTGGCTGGGGCAGTCGACCCATTCTCCATAAGCTGGTGGCTGGCCAGGGTGTTAGTGGACAAAGGATGGAGTGCGGGGCAGGTGGGGTGTTGGTCCCTGACCCCTGACTCCAGAACCAGGGAGAGGGTTAGGGTAGAATGGATCCAGGGTGTTTGCTTCCTCCTGCTCTGCCTGGGGCATCCCTGCCTAGGAGCATCCCTGCCTCAGGGCCATTGCCTCACCTTCCTTCTACCCCCGAGGGCCACACAGCTCCTACCACAGGGGCTGCTCTCTGAGGTCCCTCCCCAGACCCCAGTTGGCCTCCCCTAACTTCTGGCACCCCCCAGCAGGCCAGGCAGCCCCCCACCAAGGTGGGGCTTCAGGCCCGGCTCGGAGCCCTGACCCCTGGCCCTGAATGCCAGCAGGGGTGGGTGCTGGTCACCCAGGAGCCCTGACTCAGGCAGAGGGTTTCGGCGCGCGCACGCGGCTGCTGCTGCAGGGCACACATGAAGGTGAGGCTTGTTCAGTTACTACTGGTGGTATTTTTATACCATAACCTACTTTGCTGGGAGCTAAGAATATAGCTTCGTTTGCTACCTGCGCTCCTTCTCCTCTGGTGACAGTCGCCGGCGGTTACACGGCACCCGTTACCCGAGGTGCTTGGTCTGCAGTCACCACCAGTTTGGAGGGGAGTGGAGGGGCACCCGGGACCTCTGACCGGGCGGGCCACATGGGGCAGGCGGTGCGTGCGGGCCGTCCACTCAGATCCTCCCTGCGCTGTGAAAACGCTGTGCCTCCACCACTGGCTCCTGTCGTGGTGCGCTGACCCTCAGCTCCGTGGCCTCACTGGTTGTGGCACCACCTTCGTGCCTTCCCCACACGGGGAGCTGTCCCTGGCTCCCCTTCCACATCTGGCCACGACTCTGCCCCCGTTTGGGTCCAGCGAAGCTTGAAATTTTATTGTATTAATTAAACTACAAGGACGTGATCATCTTGTGAAAACCAAAAAGCAACACACATGTATGTACGTGCAGTGAACGTGCCTCTTACAGCCATGTCTCCTCGCTCCCCCGAGCAGCTGCAGGGCACTTTCAAGTCTGGGCAGGGGCCTGCATGTGTACAGGCACACGAGGGCAGGTGATGTGCACGCATGGCTCTAAAAACGCAGGTGGTATCACATCACCGCACACCTGATTCTCTGTTGGCCCCCATGCGGCAGGTATTTCCTGAGGGCTCTCAGAGGCAGGGACACGTGTGTGGGCCGCTCCTCTGATGAGCATGACAAAGGCCTGAGGGGCCCCGGGTTTGGAGGGGTTCCCGCCTGTCAGGGGGTAAGGCTGTGGACCTCTGCCCTTGACCAGGAGCATGTCCCCCCCTTTGGGGTTGGAGGCCCTGCCAAGGGCCCTGAGGGAGAGATGGCATCATCGGGCTTCCTTTCTTCTACCTGAGAAATAGTCTAACATAGAGAGTTCCCTGTCTCGTCCACACTGAGCCCTGCGGCAGCCGCATGCCTTGCAGGCCCGACCAGGTGGAAGGGATAGGCCTCATCAGTCCCTCTGCCCCTGAGGCCATCTGGTCCCAGGCTAGAGACCGGCCTTCCTGGAGATTTCAAATATGTTTTCAAAAATTTAATTCTCTCCCTCTCTGTCTCCTGCAAAAATGGGGTCTGATTTGATTACTTTGAAGCATCTTTCACCGACCTCTGTGAGCCACTTGGTTGGTGCAGAAACCTAAGTGCAGTACGTGTCACCAAGGGTTTCCGAAGATCACCATATCAGCTTGTTATGTGAAACGCAAGT